GGGAACATAACTACTCGGAGTAAGGCGTGAGAAATGACGAAAGAAAGAAATCTCTCACAGCTCAAAGGTCTTAAGGTCGAGTACAGGTTGCAGTCCTCCAACAGCAAGCCGTGACCTCTCAATATAAGGGACTTTAAAAACCAAAGTCATATTAGACAAATTATCACCGAAATAAAAAGAGTAACCACAATGATATCAAATCGCATTGACCCAGTAGTGGTATTCATGTACCATTTACGTAAAAGTGAATGGTAAATTGTGTTTGATGGAAAGCGAGGTAACTTCAGCAACAATATCATCTTAGACGTTGTCAAAAGATAATATATTTCAAATTTAAGTATTAGTTTTAATGCAACGTTGAAATTACTAGTAATCGATTATATAAATTAGTTAACTTTATTACTTACTTCACCATTAATCAGGAAGAAGAGAGTTGAATGAAGGGACGGACCAGAATAAATATTTACAAGACGTTTCTTCAGAACGTAAGGTATAACTTTTGTCTATTATGATTACAGATTGATATTTATGTTCCCCAAACGAAGTTGGGGAACATATTGTTTTTACTCTGTTTCTTATTATTATTATGTTCCCCAAACGAAGTTGGGGAACATATTGTTTTTACTCTGTTTCTTATTATTATTATTCTTATTATTTTTCTTCCTGGGAAAATTTTGTCCGCGAGTGATCTTGTAAACTACACATCCGACTTAGGTGAAACCTTTTTAGGGTAAGTAGGCATGTTATGTAGTTTTGCGGAACGAAGGTCATTTTGCGTGCACGTGCTTGCAAGAGCGCGCACGTGCAACACGTGAAATGACCAATATACTTGAAATTGCCGTAACTTTTATATTTTTCGATGTAATGCTTTGATATTTAGAATATATAGACATATAATAAATATAGATAAGATGACATTGTCAACATGCCATTTTGCGCGCACGTGCTTGCAAGAGCGCGCACGTGCAACACGTGAAATGACCAATATAATGGATATAGCTGTAACTTTTTTTATTTTTTGATGAAATCTTTTGAAATTTATAATGTAGGGATATATTAGTAGCGTAGACAAGATGACATGGTCAAAATAGCAAGATGTCACGCGCATGCACGTGCGCTTCGCTCTGATTGGCTGAAACTAAATTCTCAATATCTTTCTTGTTTTTTGATAAAATCCTTTGAAATTTTGAACATAGTCAAACATTATGAAGATCTACAGCATGATATATAAGAATTATCATAAAAGCATGCGCAAGCACGTGTTCTGCAATCTGATTGGCGGAAACTTTAAATGCCTATAACTTTCTTGTTTCTCAACAAAACATGATGAAATTTAGAATATGAATAGGTATAATGGATTCCTACGTGATACTACTATGTTTGCATGCACTTGTGCATGCGCAATGCGTAAAATGATCAATATATTTGAAGAACGGTGACATTAATATTTTTATGATTTTTTATTGGTTCTTGGAATATATAAAGAAATGTTAATGATTTAGCAACATGCCATGATCACCTTGCATGTGCAAGCACGTGCTTTTGCGTGCAGTGCGTTAAATGACAAAAAGTTTATATCATTGTAGCTTTAAAATTCTTTTATGAAATCCTGCAATACTGAGCATATTAAAAAAGTTTTAAAGGAAATTGGCACAAAAAAGGAGTTGGGGAGCGTTTGGGGAACATCTGTAACGGTCCCCGTTACAATTAGAACTAGTTATTATTATTATTATTATTATTTTTCTTCTTCTTCCTGGGTACTTTTTTGTCCGGGAATGATCTCGTAAACTATACATCCGACTAAGGTGAAATGTTTTTAGGGTCAGTAGACATGTTATGTAGATTTGCGGAACGAAGGTCATTTTGCGCGCACGTGCTTGCAAGAGCGTGCACGTGCAACATGTGTAATGACCGATTTAATTGATATAGGCGTAACTTTTTAAATTTTTGATGAAATGCTTTGAAACTTATAATATAAGGATATATTAGTAGCATAGACAATATGACATGGTCAAAATAGCAAGATCTCACGCGCATGCACGTGCGCTTTGCTCTGATTGGCTGAAACTAAAGTCTCAATATCTTTCTTGTTTTTTGACGAAATCCTTTGAAATTTTGAAAATAACCATGCATTAGGATATCCTACAACATGAAATAAAGCAATTATCATGAAAACACGTGCATGCACGTGCGCTGCAATCTGATTGGCTTAAACTTTAAATAGCTATAACTCCCTTGATTTTCAACCAAACAGGATGGGATTTGGAACATAGATAGATATACTGGACTACTACAAGAAAATATGGTCACCATGCACATGCATACACGTGCATGTATGTGCGCTGCAATCTGATTGGCTGAAACTTTAAACAGCTATAACTCCCTTGGTTTTCAACCAAACGGGGTGGGAGTTAGAACATAGATAGATGTAACGGACATCTACAAGAAGGTATGGCCACCATGCTCATGTATGCTCGTGCGTGCACGTGAAATGAGCAAAATCATTTTGCTTGAATGAGCGTATCTTTTTAATACTTTTGGATTAAATACTTTAATATTAAGTATATTAAAATATATAGATTTTGAGACAAGATGATATGGTCATTACGCACATGCATTCACATGCGCACGCGTGCAATGCTAAAATTTGAATGAACTTTGTACACTTATGGGTAAACGTTTTTAAGTCTCAAATGCATCGAGTTTGTCTTATTTAATGAAGCTTCCAGGGAATATGGCACCAAAAGGGAGTTGGGGAGCGTTTGGGGAACATCTGTAACGGTCCCCGTTACAATTAGCACTAGTTTTTAATGTTTATTTCGTGGTCAAAAAGTAATCATATGAAATAATGACATAAAAGGTTAATTCTGCACCTCCTATATTACTTTTTTAATAGACACAAAAATTATCCTGTCGCAATCATGGGGTTCCACAGAATTGTATTATTTTTGGATTTTTTTAAAGGTCGACCACTTTGATTTTCGTTATATTTTCACATTTTTAATATCACGATGGATGACTCAACTTTATAACTTTCAGAATATTTTCATATTTTTTTGTACAAATAAATATCAGAATCTTTTTGTAGGAAGTTGAATTGCAGGAGTTCGACAATTGTATTGAAATCAGCTTCTTTCAAAACAAGACATAATATTTCTGAAGTTCATAGCTCCCCCTTGAATTTCTATTTCTCCGGAACCATAGGCTGTAATTGATCGTATTCTACTTCCGATCATGTCTTTAAAAACTTTTTCGGTAGTCGTAACGACGACATCACACTGTAAGCATGCGCCATTTTTGACAATCGCTATTCCATTTCTTATTGTAAGTGAAATATGAGTATTAGAATCTTTGAACGAGAAATATACACTTGTCGTCACATGACCACAGTCTTCAGGCTTAAAACGTATCTGAAGGGCCCTAAATATTAAATTTATTGGTAACAATTTCACACCATTTTCTCGACTTTTTTGAAGACCAACTGAAGTATCAATTAAACTTGCTTCTTCAAATGCACTTGTTAAATAATAATTCCGTCCGTTAGCACTCTTTTGCCGAGAACCAAGTGACGTCAGAGAGTCGAGTTTTATTTCCGTCGCTTCTCTGTGTCCAGGATTCGTTATCAGAACGTAAGTAGAGAGTTCTAATGCCCATTGAAAATCTTTTGTTCGCAGTGCTTCACGTGCCTGTTCCAAGAGTTTATTGACACCGACTAGTTTAATCATTCTATCCGCCTTTTCTGTTTTTGACAACGGTGATAAGTCCACAGCATCACCACTAAACCATCCTAAGTACGAGGTGAACACTGTTCTGACCGACCATTCGGTAGTACCGTAAAATTCTTGTAAATATGGATGCTCTTTAAGGTTTTTTGGTAATGTGACTTTATTTGCTATATCTGTAGGGTCCATTCCCATATTGATGTAGCGTAATGTTTGATCGTGGATATACTGAATTGCGTCGCGATACACTGTCAGAACTTCCTGTATGTTTGATTTCCCCACCAAAGGGCGCGTATGACTAGGAACAAGGAATTGTGGGTTGTATTCTATAATGGTATCTATGGACTCTACCCACTGAAGAAGATTTCTATCAGGCGTTCCTCTAATGGCGTATAGATTTGGAAATGCCTTGTACATATCATCTGCACAGAGAAATGCATCCTGTTTTGGTAACCAAACACCAATTTGATCATCCGTTTCACCCGGAATGTGAACAATTGACATTTCAATGCCTGAATAAAAAACAAAAGTTTTTGGTTTTTTAAGAAGAGTGCAATTATCACTTCTATTTCCTAGTAATTGGAATAATTCCAATCATTGATTCATAAATGCAAAATCTTATCGATTTAGAATTATAAAAGTAATAAAAAAATTATGTTATGAAATAATTGGCGAAAATTTGCACCATTTTAGGACAACATGGAGGTCAGAATAAAAATTTAGGTTTAGGACAAAGAAATAAGCTCTTTATATAGAAACCAGTCCTCACCTGCTAATGTAAGATTAGTAACTCTTTTATGAACAAATTTATTTGGGAAAACCAGTCCAAGCGTCGATTTTCCATCGCCATACTTCAACATTTTTCCAATCCCAGAATTCACTGCATCTGGCAAGAAGACACCAAATTGTCGCATTGCCCGTCGATACCCAGCGGTATTCGTTGTGAACGTTCGTTGAAATTCTTTGTTAATACTTTCATGTGCCCATATATCAGGAGGACTCGATTCTTTTTCGATGAACGCCTTTAAATAAAAAAAAAAAACCATGCAAACATGAAAATAGTTTGCTTTAAAGAAGTCGTTTATTGTATGTGAAGATTCAGAGAAATAATTAACATGTACACTGTATACACGTTGTTGTTCATGTATGATTAAAGTCAAAGAAAATTTCTGCGATAGTTTTAATTTTTAAATATTAATTATTGCAATATTCTTCCTTTCATATTTGGCTTGACTTTTCTTTCCTTCAATTTTAGGAAAACCCCAACTAAGGTTGACTGCTAACACAAGAAATGGCCCTTTTATTCATTTATTTATTTATTGCAAGTTCTGCATCAAGTAATTGCTTTACAAGAGCCTTTTATTATGAGCCTTGCTTCCCCTCTGAATCAAAAATGCATGATGTCTTAATTATTGCAAAATTGCATGCAATTCACCAATATGATAATATAAATGATACTGTAAAATCACACTTGTCATATTTTCGTGGCTTGAGGAAAAATGCTGGTTCATGGGAGGTGCTTAATTATTCTTTTTTTTTTCTGAAATTACGTAGTGGACATGGTTTACCAGGTCTCTTCATACCACGACAACAACTAAACTAGACCCCTTCTGAAGTGAGTGATTTTTCAAGATCTTTCTTAAAAATAAACGTTCCTCTTAAAAGCTAGGCAATGAGACACGAGCGTTGAAATAACATAATTACATTATACAGTGTATATAATTATTTAAAACTACAGTAAGACAAAATTTAGTTTAACCTTTGCGCCATACGTATGATCTGCATGGTTGTGTGTGTAAATGATGGCTGCTACAGGTTTCTTCGTTATGTTTCGGAAGGCGGCCATGATCTCCAATGCAGTTTCGTAACTTTCCGTCACATCAACAATCACAATCTCATCTTTTCCTTCTATCATTATAGAATTGGCTAGCGCGTATCCAATGGCCATATACAAACCATCCGTTACCTACAAAGTAAATCATCAGAAATCTGACAAAGACCATATATAAAAGAAATTTTATTATCAAAACTCAAGAATGTTGTTTAAGTCCTTTGGTACAAAATTATGCTACAAAAAAAAGGATTTCAAAAATTTAAATATATTTGTAATAATAACACTGTTTCCGTGTTTTAAAAAAGCCGTAAATCAAAATGCCAAAAAGGCCAAAAAGCATACAAATCAAACATAATAAACATACACAAACAAAAATGCAAAATGAAAGAATAAACTGCATCCCTTTTCTTTCTCCGAAATCATGTTAAATCTTCCTCATATATATTATTTCTATATGAAAATGTAGCCATTGGTGCAAAGAGAAATATTTTCTTCTTTTGGTATTGAATTTCAAGGTTATCAGATGCAATACTATATAATCTAATTTCAATCTAATGAATAGGATTACCATTTATTTTACTGCATACATGTATAGTGGTGAATTTTTTTTAATGTTGCAAATAAAGTATTATTTTCATAAACTGTATCAATGACCTGATTTATCTTTTTGATATATTTTTACAATATATCGGAAAAATATTTTTTCTTCCTTTTCAATTTTATTAGTAAAATTAAAGTTAACTAGATAATTATCAGGGGTGTCGAAATCGTTTTCAAGTCTGTAGGCCTAGTTAATAATTCCTAAGAAACTTTACAAGTGTCCTCTATAAAACACAAGATACTATGTTTTATTTAATTTTCTGATAACTCTTCTCAGTGCACGTTCCTTGAGTAAAATAATGCTTTACCAATACTCACTGTAGCTAATAAAGATTCTTTAAAATGGGTCTTTAATTACAATAATATGTTTTATTATTTGTTAAGAACATACACAACCTATGTCATAAAATTGGAATTTACAAGAGCACAAATTATTATTCAGGATATAATCAATATAAAATCATAGTACCGTCAGGTATTCTAATACAAAAGTAATCATACATTAGCAAGTGGTTTAAAAAATGTTAACTGATTAAAATTCATTCATCCTTTTTTCTATTTAATTACATGTATATAGATAAAATATCAAATATATAAATTTTAATTATTTAAGCAAAGTAGCAATCATTAAAAGAGAAGAATATTTTTTGTAACTCTTAAATTATTTAAAATAAGAAAATAAAGTTCAAAACTACTTTGATGTGTCCTTAAAATAAGGTCAATGAATGTTCAAGATTAGGTTGTAAAACTTGAATGACCATTGACATCTTACCTGGATGATTTCTGGTCGAGCGAATTCGACAGTATGGTTATGTAGCTGGTGGTCAACGGCAGCCAACCGCTGGATCCGCTCCTTGTACGAGGGGCCATTGATGGCCGTCCATAATCGGTTACCTAGGTAACCTGTCAACGCTAACAGCAGCACGAAAAATGCAATTTGGGGACCTTCCATACCCGCAACATTTAATGAACTACTCAGCTGATAACATCCGTTTTGGTGCTGAAATTATCAATTATTGCTTTAATATTCAACAAATATTTTTGCGAAGACTATTTATTTGAGTTAAAATTGTAGGTAAAATTAATTTTCACAGGTTAAGGTATAATGTTATCATGAAAAATGTATAACTGCAATCATTTATTTTAAATTAAACGTTTTCTTATTTAGTGAACAAGTTAGGTCAGGTTGTCGCTAAAAGGTGATAATTAAGCTTAAATTACTATCATGCAATTGCTGTTTATAATAAAAAAAAATTAATTTCAAATAAATAAATGTAAAACTTACCCATAGGTATATTAGCTTAAAGCGACAAAGTCCGGTGTAACGACGAAAAGTGACCCCCGTAGAATATGACCGGGGGTCATTTTTCTACGTAGAAATTTGACCCCCTGGTCAATATTCTATGTAGAAAAATGACCCCTTTTTCTGTAGAAATCATGGCCTTGGGGTCATATTCCTCCGTGTGCATTGTAGAAAATTGACCCCGTAGAATAATGACCCCCTGTCATTTTTTATGCCAAAAACAATTCATTTTATAAGGAATATTCTTATTAGGCATATGCAAGCGGGATATATCAAGCTGACTTATGCTTTAAAGTGTTAATTTCTGAAAGCTTTTAAGGTAAGATAACGAAATCAAAGCGATAAAATACCTTGCATTAATGACACAAACTGTTTATCTCCACTAGAGGAAAACGGTATCAAAATGTTCTAACCCAAAGGCTATAGGAGCAAAGATACGAGAATTCATAGAAACTTTTATTAAATTTTATACCAGTAAATAAGTTTCCACAGTTGCCATTTTAATTCTAAAAAAGGGTTATTTCCAAACTTCCGCCAGAGTTCGTTTGTACCAAACCAAATCTCAAATCTCTGTGTGCGGAGAAGCAGAGGACTATGGGTAGTATGGGTCATTTCTATCTGACAGTATGGTGTCATTTCTAGCTGGCAGTATGGTGTCAGAAAGAAAAGTTTCCGTTATTAATCAATAATGAATCTTTTTGATTTTATCCTGGATACATAATTTTTCAAAAGTTTAAAGTTTTTTATCCATATTTTTAAAACGGGCACGAAAAAGTGTTCCAACATAGAAAAATCGTATAAAAATATTTGATTTTCTATGAATGAAGTTTCAAACTTCTTTTAAAAAATAGGGATAATTTAATTGTTAAAAATAAGTACTAAATTAAATTGCCTCTGACCTTTATGTATGATACAAGGAAAACAAAAAGTGGTCAGCTCAAAACCTGTAAAATGTCTTTTGTCGTTTGCTAGTGTTAACAAAATAGGGATTGTAGCATAAAACATGATTAACTAAAAAAAAAATAATAATGAGTTCCCATCTTTCCAAAAAAAAGGCACATGTAGTATCGTTTTCCTCGTTCTACATGTACTTACGTAAATGGTTTTAGGAGTTTTTTTACCAATAGAAAAAAAATTTAGATGATGAAAAAGTTGTTACTTTACATGATATACTTATGCCCCCGTAAACGAAATTTCCGGGTTTTGCCCCTGTAAACGAAGTTTCTGGGGGTATATTATACACTTATCCACTGGTTGTGAGTGGGATAGCTCTTTTATAAAAACCGCGACAGAGAACAATTACCCGAGGGCTTGCCCGAGGGGGAGAGTTACGGTGAAGGATTTGATAAAAGAGCTGTCCCACTCACAACCAGTGGATAAGCGTTTTATTATACTGATGTATAATATAATTTCTGAGGTTTGATTTTTTTTGGAGTAAGATAATTCTGCAAGAATAATCTGAAACCTGATGACGTCTTAATGCTACTGAAGTCATTATGACATCATCAGTTCAAAGATTTATCGCTGGAAATCAAAATTGGCGGCAACAATTGCATGAAAATTTTCCGAGGGTGGATAGCAAAAACTATACCCCGGGGTATAGCTTTGCTATACCTGGAGTATTAAGGATAGTTATTTTACCTTCTGAACTTTATATAGGAAACATTTTAACAGAAGTATAATAAAGCATTTTACCTGTCCGCTTGTCTGTTTGTATATTTTTCCACAAAACTTAAACATTGCCCATGCCCATGACTGGGTAAGACTACGGCTTTCATATTTCACAAGTGTATTTTTGTCACAAGACCTTTTTGTGTACAATCAATTTTGACCTTTTAATATTGACCTTGGATTTTGACACACTTTTACACAAGGAGAATATGGAGATATTAACTAACAGTATTCAATATCAAAGTCCATAAAACAATACAAAATATAAAGGAGCAGAGCAAACACGAACCTCCGAAACATCAGAGATGGAATCAGGTGCCATAGAAGAATGAGAATCCCCTGCTGACCGGTCTCATCTGCCATGTTCTCATTGTCACGACTGGGAAATAACAGAAAAATCCTCCGCAAACTCGACGCACAAATAACGGACCAACAAAAGCACGAAAAACATTAGTCAGCATTTGTTTCAATTTGATAAATTGCTTTTGCTGACAATGTCATTATGTCAACCATAGAATTAACGAAATGTTGACTTCAAATGAGACTGCCGATATTCTTGTTATTTATTTCATTTACTTGCTTGTCAATAATTTACTTCGTTTTCGAAATTGTTCATATGTAGAGCATGCTCTTGCGTATAGAATCAACCGAGATATATACATTCTGTTTGCAGGTGATGAAGGTAAATCGCTGCATAACCAAGGAAATTTGACGATAGAAAAGTTTGTCATCACATTTATCATTAAGCCTAGTTGTTAGATTACCATTAACGTCTTTTTTCAAGTAAAATTTTTTCAAGTAAAATATCCATGGGTGAGACAGATGTGTCAGACTCTGTGGTATCTTTCATCTCAAGCTAGCTCACAAGGATATATCGTATCGACGTAGGATTGAAAATTACCATTGTTAATTGACAATACGTCGTCGATATATATATATATCTAAATGTTGAGTTGAAGGCCACAGCAAGTATTTTCTTCTTTTCACGCATTAGACTTCGCACAAATTCTATTTCAAGTGAATATGAAAATAGATTTACTTATAACGGAGCGCAATTGGTACCCATGGGAATTGCAATTTATTGTCGGAATATCTGGTCTTCCAAAAAAACCAGATATTGTCGATCAGTAACTCAAGCATCTCTTACACGTCAACTTTAGAGTACTTGTGTGTGCAATGTGTTTTAACAAAATAATTTTGCAAATGACCAATGACCATTGTAAATTTACAAGTTCCGTTTTATTAAAAAAGCAGCTGTCATTGAAATAAAAAAAATCCTGGTTCACACCACTTTTTGAATAATTATATTGTTGCGCAGTACAATAAGAGTTTTTCCTACTCTACTGTCAATACGGAGTACAAAAGAGATTTGAATGAACATTTACTGGAACCCGCAATGTGTCTTTGTTTGGAATCCAATATATATCGGGTAATTCAAATTTATTTTTGCTCTGTGTAATATTAAAAATATTTAAAACTGACCCAAAATTTTGAAGAATTTCTTCCTTAGAAAGGGAAGTATGAGTATAAGTAGGATTACCACTTGTAGAATTAAATCTTAAAAGTTCTAAAATACAATTCAAACGAAGACAATGTTGTTACCTGCTTTGTCAACAAGGACCAGTACGTACTGATCATATAATCAATCTATTTTTTTTCACTTCTGGGTTATTGAACACAGAATGAATGAGGGTTTTCATATTACCCCTCAATCTTTGAATACGCGGCGTTAACATGGTTCTGATACATTTAATCCATTGTGGAAAAAATCAATAATTCCACACTTTTACTTTAATATTAACTTTTGGACGGTATGTGCTAGAAATTTATTTTGAAGTAAGGGCATGACAACTAAGAGTTCATTAATTTGCACAGGTAACCAGAGTCTATAAAATCCCAGAAGAAAGAGGATGTAACAGCAACCATTGATCACGTATCTGTGGGCGCTAGAAAGTGTTGAAAAGAGATTTTTGAGTTTTTATTTTAAGTTATAGATATCTCTGAAGGTTGAACTATTTTGCACTCAGGTGTATATTTTTGCCAGTTTTGGAGAAATTTGTAATATCATCATAAGAACTTCTTGATGTGTATTGTATTTCCTGTATATAAAGGAAAAAGTATAGTAATATATAAGGTAGTTAAAAAGTATGTATTTTAAAGCAGAATAAATGCATACAGATGTATATGTAAGTTTAGAGGTAAGAGCCAATGGAATTGAATTTATATATATAGTTAAACAATGTTGCTATCGATGTTCGGAGGTCCGTGTTTGCTCTGCTCCTATTTTGTATTGTTTTATGGACTTTGATATTGAATGATGTTCGGTATCTCTTTTTCTTGCTTCTGTGCTATTTTTACTCAAGCCCTAGAGGGGCTTGAGTTATCTAAAACGATGCTAGGTCATCGAATTACTCGGTTTAAAAACACAAAATATATTATTTTCGTAGATAAAAATATTTCTAGAAACAAAAAATTAAGCTTATATTGAAAACGTCAGTATATTCAAAGATATTAAGTGTTAAATATCGGATTCTTTTCTATGGCGAATGATCAATGAGTGACACTCCTCAGCCGCAACAGTTTCTTTACAGAAAGTAAATTCGCGCTTTCCTCTGCGTATGAATCTCGGGTAACTTTTTACAGTCGCCGACAAAGCATCCTTGGACGAGTCCACTTCAGACTATGAAAGGTGACGCAGGTTACCCCATCGTAACAAATTCTACAATGCATGGCCAGAAAATGTATGGCTGTACCCCCTCCCCCTCCAAATGAAATTGCTTTTCACGGACCTGCAAATACTGTGTTCTTTGAGTGACAGTAAAATAATAGCACGAAATCATTGTTAATTTCTCGTAAAAATTATCATGATTATCTTAAGCTTTTGTAACGGAACTTATATTATGATAACTTCTTTAGAATCCGTACGGAATAGGTATTGGACATGCAGCTCAGCTAGGTGAACCCCATCGTTTCAAGCCACGGTCCGGAGTAGGAGAGGATCGTACATTTCGGCCGTGGATTGCAACGATGGATAAATCTGTAGTTCACGTGGATTTTGGAGGCTGGACCCCCCTCCCCCCTTCCACTTGGAAAAACTGCTTGTAGCAAGCTATTTAGATTGATGTATATATTGAATATAATGTACGTCGTTAAGCAAAAAATACAAAAAGTACATATTGTATATAGTTTTAAGTATACTTAATGTCTACATAAAAAAAAATATTTCATGAAATTAAGATTAGAAACGGCAACGTTACTATGGTCTATAAAAATATTCCTGCAAGTGCGTCACTGACGTAAATTCATCTTAAAAAGTAGTACGATTAATCATATTTATTCTAATTAAATTCAATGTATTAACTTTGTTTCGTGTACATGTAGTTTATTCAACAAAAGATTGAACTCCTTAGCCTTCATCTTATAGAATTTTAGGATATTATATTAACTTCTGAATTTAGTTACTACAGCTTGAGTATTTCTGACGTTTTGTCAGTATATACTTGTTTTTTCTTGCAAGAATTTTCAAAGATTATAGTAATTAGAAACGTATTATGTCATTTTCGGAATAAAACCTTTGAATGAAAAAAAACCAAAATATATAATCATAAATTTATGTTCTCGATGAATAAATATTCATTGGGATTCTGCAAGTAAAAAATATACCCATACCAGATACATGCATTGGTTGTGATGCTACGTTTAAGATATCCAATTGAATTTATGTCTTCTAATGCTTATAGGCAAGATCACCGCAGCTTGTTTTTGCTAATTTTGTAAAAATCAAATAAAACACTTTGATGTTGATGAAAAATGTCATTTATTAAAATGACGGTATAAATGTGAACAATTTAACAAACAAGAAGGGGATCAGATTCACAAGCTTTGCTTATCAGTTACGTAAAATATGATAATGTCTGATCCCCAAAACTGACTAGAAAAAAGTATCTGTAAGACAAGACAATCAAAACATCATATTAAAAAGTTAGCAAATAGATGGCACATCAAAATAAAATAGGCAAACATTACAAGAAAAAGTTGGCAAAAAGATGGTACATCAAAGACACAATCAAAACCTCAGAAGAAAAAGTTTGCAAAAAGATCATAATCAAAACCAAATACATGAAAGCGTAAAACAATCGAGTAAAAACTATAATATATTATAAATTTTACATGACACATTAATGATCATATTAAGGGATAGGAATGTTGGGGTGGAGGTGGGTCTTCAAAATAGACGTGCTTCATGTTAGCGGTGGTGAGCGCGCGAGTGCGAATGACTCGCTGAGCTGACCACGTGACCTTACACATTCCATTACAATTAGGCAAGGCGTGGATCTGAGAATTTTCACAATTTACCAACGTAAATGTTCCGAAAACCTCCAAACAAATTATCGCATTAAATACATAAATACAATTATTATTCTAATAATTGATGTTTTATGTCTTCTAATGCTTATAGGCAAGATCACCGCAGCTTGTTTTTGCTAATTTTGTAAAAATCAAATAAAACACTTTGATGTTGATGAAAAATGTCATTTATTAAAATGACGGTATAAATGTGAACAATTTAACAAACAAGAAGGGGATCAGATTCACAAGCTTTGCTTATCAGTTACGTAAAATATGATAATGTCTGATCCCCAAAACTGACTAGAAAAAAGTATCTGTAAGACAAGACAATCAAAACATCATATTAAAAAGTTAGCAAATAGATGGCACATCAAAATAAAATAGGCCACAAGATGTGATATGCAGGTCACATCCATGTAAGATGTGACATGCAAATCACATCCGTGCCATCCAAGGTGAGCTTGCACACATCAAATCTATATGAAGGCAGTTAATCACTGGCCTCTCCAAACATCTTAAAGTAATGAAATGAAAAACAGAAATCTACCTTTCATTAATTATTTCATTACCAGTTATCACTAAAATGTAGTTACATGTAAAATAATGGAGGAAATATCGGTATTAATAAAATATCCGAGCAATGTTAATAAATAACAATATTGAGTAATACATGTAAGTATGGAAGAAAACTAATTTCAGAGAAAATGACATATCGAAAACTATTGTTTATTGAGCCAGCAAGTAAGCAAAGTCAGACGAGGAGTATTTAGATATCCAAAAGCAGTTATTCACTGACCTGTCAATGTGGGAATGAACATGTTCCTTACGGTATTTTTAATTGTAAGAGTAGAACAAAACAGCAGTTAAATCACTGACCTGTATTTAAACTACATCCTAATATTTAACTATTTATCATGAATAGAACAAAACAGCAGTTAAATCACTGACCTGTATTTACACTACACACTTAGTGAGTATCAAAATATTTATCGTGAGTATAACAAAACAGCAGTTAAATCGCTGACCTGCATTTAAATTACATCCTAATATCTTACTTATTTTCACGAGTAGAACAAAACAGCAGTTAAATCACTGACCTGTATTTAAACTACATGACAGTATCTAATTATTTATCATGAATAGAACAGAAATGAAGTTAAACACCGACTCGCAATTAAACTACATTCTAGAATCGAACTAATGGGGGTAGAACAAACACAGCAATTAAATGCTAGATTATTATTATTATTATTTTTATTCATTTATATTTATTTATTTTTTATTCATTTTTTTTTTTTTTTTTAAGTGGAACAAAACAATAATTAACATTGACTAATTTTTGATCTTCGGACCTATATTGTAGCTCTCTCCATTTGAGATCAAGGTACAGTTAAATTACTGTACATACTTTAGTTCCACAAAACAGGTATAATAAATTGATATTCAGATAATTATGAAGATTGAAGAAGAATTATGCGGAGAGTGCTCATGAGTAGGACACACGGTCAGATATCATTCTACTTATTACAACCTTGAATTATTTAACTTTATATCTATGCGAGTGTTTATTTTATTATTTATTTATTTATTTATTTATTTTTTTTTTTTTTTTTTTTTTTTCTTTTTTTTTATTTTAAACCAGTTTTAAGAGTATCTTCCAAATTGTAATTTTTTTTTTTACATTTGTATCAGAAATTCAACAAATATAAACAACCCCAAAATATTTGCATAACAGCCCTTTCTCTTGGAACTGTCGGACCCAAAAGGTTGTATCCATTAATTCCATAAAGTATGCCCTTTTCATGGAGGAATCTACCTTACTTCTATTCCAAAAAGTATAAAGAAGTTTTACACGATGAAAGTTAATTCATTATGTTCCTAAGCGTTTTGAATAGAGTGTAACATTCCTAGATTATACTAAATTCACCATGTATATTGTGTCAATTGAAAAGTTGGCTCTAAAGTTCAGAATTTATTGTAAGTCAAAAAATCTAAATTTCACAAGTAATTAATTTGGAACAAATTTCGTAGATAGAATACAAAACTGTATAACACAGTAATATTCCTAGATTGCCTTCCTTACAAAACTCACAAATCGGTTCTTTGACAACTCTGCCTACTTTCAAACTGACCGGCCAATTAAAATCAAGGATAGAAAATTACATGAGCATAGGGAATCCGTAAGACATTAATTTACCACACTGAAATTAGGTAGAGCTAAGCATAGCAAATTCAAAGAACGCAATCCTAGGATCTAACCATAAATTTGATAACAAGAATGAGTTAATCACATTGCTATCGTCAGACAGGGAAGAGATGTCAAGAATGAAATACTGCCACCATGTGCAAAAATGCCCTTCCTAAACATCAAAAGAAAACGATTATCTTTCAACTACATATGTCAAACAAGACTGAAAATTAATAGCACATTTATATAAATAAATGATTGAGAAAAATTTTACATGGGGTTAATTAAGGCAAATAAATATTTAAAGATAAAGACCGCAGAAACGTACAATGTACAACATGAGCTAGTAAAACAAAACAGTGTCTTTCATTATGCTGTCTATTAGAAACAATTTAAAATAATTCATTTTAATTATTATTATTATTATTATTGTATTCTAGCCTGACCATGCTTAATTTCCGAACAGGGACATAAATTGAAAATCCTTTCATTATTGTACTGACCTTGCATGGGGTCTGTACTAACTTATAAAAATAAATTAATCCTATATTTACTAGCCATATAGGGAACTTATTTGAAATATTATGGAGGGAGGGATCTTCGTATATTATTTACTTGCTGACTCGCCTGTAAATGTTTTATTCGAAACCAAATTGAATGCTCTAGCTGGTATGGATGCTTCGTGAACCAACGGTAGTGGATATCCTGATTACCCGGCTGATTTGGGGCACACCTGTAACAGCACTGCAAGCAGTTTAGCTTGCAAACATATGGATTTTATACCGGCTGATAGCATGAAAGTTGTTGGTAAAGTCAAAATGTATTTAGAAAACACTAGTGGACGGGCTGGTTTAGGACATTATCCATCGGCGGTGCGGATCTTATGCAATTTGTTAGATAGAACCGCTCGCTGAGTCAATATTTGATAAACAGTTCAAACCTGTGTCATTAACATTCATGGCATCCGGCACAATTCTGCTAGGCTCTCTGGGCTATTAACAGTTATAGCTACGCTTCCTCTTCACTCCGGCTGCTAGGATGTAGCAAATTTGCACACTGGCAAATTCATCAAAAGGCATCTGCAACTTAAACATGAAAATTATATGAATACTTTTAAGTCTAAGGTGTCATTTAAAGAAAGGACGCCAAAATCCAACAAATGAGGTGTAAACAAAGTGATACATCATGTACATTATCATGCTCATAGAAAGTAGAAACACTAGAAAGAGTAAATTTCCTCCTGAAGACTAACCGTTATAGCAAATATATATTGTATTACAATCATACTGATAATAATCGATTAATTCTCTGCTGAGAGGATTCGCTTTGACGAAATTATACATATTCCATGATTCTACCAATTTTTCAAATAACAAATTAAAGAAATGTCGATAAATCAGAATAAATATGTTAAGTCCATTACAAAAGAATAAAATGTCACATGTATAGGATATACCACTATTTGTAACACGTACTTTGAAGCAACTAAGAAGTATTGTGATACTCTTTCTTGCAATTGACTGCAATAAACATGAAATGAAGTTGCCACTATGTTTAGATGTAATAGGGCATATATACTTTAAAACCAAACAGTGAAAGTATGGATAACTTCGACCCATATGCATACATATAAACTCTGCACAAAACATGAACATCAAACGTACGGATAACTCTACACTAAATGAAATCCTGCCACATTAGACGCAAATGTCATAATGTGCAAACAAATGGATAACTACCTCTTATTGGTATATAAGTAAAATCTACAAGGATACCAGGAACAAACTCCTTGAACATAGGTATGCCAAAGCACAACGATTAAAGCCATTGATCTTGAGAAATTTCATTTCTTCGACCACAATTAACTTAAAAAATATCCAAATCAAAAAATATAACACGACATAAACTGTTACTGGTACAAAGAAACCCTTAGCCTTGTTCTTATCTTATACATGTGGATAGGTACAAATAAATGATGAACCCAAGACTCCCACACAATAAGAACATATACGCGGCTTACTCTGTGCTATTGATAAACACCGTGCGTAGGCACAGATAAACTTTGTACCCAAAACTCCCACACAATAAGTACATATATGCGGCCTACTCTGTACTATTGCTTAAAACTGTGGGTAGGCACAGATAAACTTGTACCCAAAAACTCCCACACAATTAGTACATATGTGCGGCATACACTGTACTATTGCTAACTGAAAAACAATACTAAAATCGTGTAAAACATACCAAAATGATAGAATCTTGATTATAATGTTTACCTGTTACCCAACAATCACTTTATATATTTTGTCGCCTTACGATATGTGCAAATTAATGAAAAATTTAATTCAACTAAATACTGGGTAACGTATCAACAATTACTTAAGTGAAGCACACAGTGCAATCGCAATTGAACTTCCTCAAACAATCATTAGCAATAAAACAATATAGAACTTATAAATCCAATGTTTATCCCTAGGTACAAACCATAAACATAAGCACAGTTTAGAAACTTGATAGACAAAACCATTTAATCAAGTGCGACTGGTAAAAAAAAAACATGAAGGAAGACTACAATTCTGTGCTATTATTTAATACTTGGATAGATAGGTACATAACAACTTTGAACCTAAACTCCCACACAATAAGTACATATATGCGGCCTACTCCGTACCAGTGTTAAACATGGGTAGGCACAGATAAACTTTGTACCTAAAACTCCCATACAATGAGTACATATATGCGGCCTTAACTCTGTACCATTGTTAAACATGGGTAAGCACAGATAAACTTTGCACCTAGACTCCCATACAATGAGTACATATATGCGGCCATATAACTCTGTACCATTGTTAAACATGGGTAGGCACAGATAAACTTTGCAAACTTTGCATGCGGCCTACTCCGTACCATTGTTAAACATGGGTAGGCACATATAAACTTTACTAGACTCCCATACAATGAGTACTTATATGCGGCCTACTCCGTACCATTGTTAAACATGGGTAAGCACAGATAAACTTTGCACCTAGACTCCCATACAATGAGTACTTATATGCGGCCTACTCCGTACCATTGTTAAACATGGGTAAGCACAGATAAACTTTGCACCTAGACTCCCATACAATGAGTACTTATATGCGGCCTACTCCGTACCATTGTTAAACATGGGTAAGCACAGATAAACTTTGCACCTAGACTCCCATACAATGAGTACTTATATGCGGCCTACTCTGTACTATTGCTTAACACGTGGGTAGGTTCATATGTTGACTGTGTACCTCTACTTTCAAACGATAAGTACATAAGACCTATAAACGTCATACCGATTGTAATTAATAATAATCAGACAGAATATATACTTTGACTTCTAGTTTCCTACCTATATTGTACGAAAGAATAAACAATAAAGAAACGAGATAATGCGAAACAATGCCCAGATAAATAACTGCTTCATAAGACGAAACCATTGTCATTATGAGCCACCTGGTCCTGAATATGTCTCGTCAGTAACAAGTTCACCAAACATGCATGCATGATTCTAAATATTTCGAACATTGATTTTATTGCCTAACAGCAAACAGCCATCAAGACATCAACTAGCCTTTAACGAACAGCACTGACTGACAGAGCAATTAAGTCTCTCATATGACCTTAAAACTTGGTAGCCTACCACAAACATAAGCACCCCAGTGTGCAATTCATGTAAAATGAGACAAAAAGTTATACTGGCCTTAATAAGCTTGGCGATTGAATAACTGCATTCCTTATACTTCAAAGGAACTTCCGCATAGGTTGGTCGTGCGAGGGGGTGCAGCACAGATTTACACCATCAGGACCCAGATAGTTTAGGTCATGCCAGAAACCTCTATGACGCCAAAAATGGATTCCCGGCAAAGAATGGGTCCTGATCTCCAATTGTATATTTGTTTTTACTTCTTTGTCATTAAAGCCCTTCTTCAAAATAGACGTGCTTCATGTTAGCGGTGGTGAGCGCGCGAGTGTGAATGACTCGCTGAGCTGACCACGTGACCTTACACATTCCATTACAATAAGGCAAGGCGTGGATCTGAGAATTTTCACAATTTACCAACGTAAATGTTTCCGAAAACCTCCAAACAAATTATCGCATTAAATACATAAATACAATTATTATTCTAATAATGGTCGGAAAGTGGGCCGCATTCCAAAATGCAAATCTTGTTCCTTGGACGGGGACTGTACTTAATAAGAATATATTTATTTGTTTGCGGCTCTTAGTTTATGTAGATTTCTTCTCGGGGGTTCAAATACCGTAGAAATTGTATTGTTCTGTTCATTAAACGGTTGCAGGATATTGTTCGAGCTACACTTCATCCGTTTTTATTACTGCTTACATCACAATACCTGCATAAGCGAGCGAAGTGAGGCGGAAATACTTTTTATCATATTTCATTTCGATTTGAGAAATTAAATTGTTGAAAACCCTTAGTAAAGACTGAATTCAAATTTACTATTAAAGAAATATGACACTGGATAAAGATATACCTCAATTGATACATCAGCATGACGCATGAGTTTTGTAATCTGAGGTGGATTTTTGTCTCAACTTTTTAAAAAATGTTTGTAAAGAGTAGGTAACAGTCAGTAAAAATTGTTATATTTCAAAGTTAAAGAAATCGTATATTCTTCCATTAGCTACTTTAACTGTAAGTAAAACTGAGTGAAATAAACCTGATAACTGTAAGTAATGGTGAATAACTAGAACATTATAATTAAGTGTCAAAAAACTTATCAGATAAATAACGAAGTAAGATATATAAAGCGACAGGTTATTTTATTTACCTATATCTTACACAAGCTCAGGTAAGCAATCAACAGCGATAAAATAAAATAATCAGGTCACACAGAGACCACAACAAGCTCCAGTGACATAATCAAACAAGATATCAAAGGGGTAGATCTATTTATATCATTGCGTCAGCGTACTTCTACAATAACGATAACTATTCAAAATTCAGATGTTAGGCTTGATATGTTTCCACCTGTTTTTCAGTTCATTCTTATCTTCATAAAAACAGCAAAAAAGTTAATTTCTCTAATTCATTGGAAAAAATGGAAGGTTTAAGATCATTGTGTATACATTGTGAGTGGTATACATGTATATATACCATATGTACACTTTAAATTACGGAGATGTACATCCCTGAGTTGATACATGTAAAGTTCTGTCAATACATATACTTATGATTTTTCGGTTTAACCCCCTTCCCCGCAGTCACGCTTTTAACGCATATACCATTTCCTATTTCTAACGCAAAATCACGCATATACCGTTTCCCCGCAATCACGCATTTTCACGCACTTTAAAAAGTACATTTAACCGTTAATTTAATGCCAATTTCCTTTTATTTTATACTTGCAAAAATCTCATCAAATAAGAAAAGTTATTTTTGTATTAAAATATAGCAATATAATATTATTTACGCTGAACTTTAGAGAAACGTGTACCACGCTGAAACTTGCTTGCGGGGAAATGGTAAATTTCTATTTCTATGACATGAACATTTAGTGTATTTTGCATAACAGTTCAATAAGTTGTAAAGAGTTAAGCTCGTAAGTAAGCTGGTCTGATCAATGTTCCTGTGTCCCTCAATCTGTAAACTTTCACTTTTTTGTCTTAAGAACCACCAGGCCAATTTTAACCAAAACTAGCACAAAGGATCCTAGGGTACAGGAAATTCTAAATTATGTTATGCAAGATCTAGCCCCTTGCAGGGGGGAGATTATCGAGGAATCTAATTTTTTTCCCAAAATCTACTTCTCAAGAACTATTGTACCAGAAACTGTAAAGTTTTCTGAAATTGTCTAGAGTTCAATAAAAAAAATCATTCCCCAGTCGTTGAGAGAGGCAGCAAAATTTTGCATTGAAAAACGTAAATACGCGATAATACAAATATATAAATTCATTATATTATCTATATCAGACATTGAATTTAAAAAGAAATTAAAATGAAAAGCAATGTTGGTCTTCAATGACTGTTCGAAAAATTTCAACCGACTCAAAAATCATGTCTCATCAATGGTGATGTATTTCACCCTCCTACATGCAGCAAAGTTATGTAGACATGTGACTTAAATATGTAAACATGTATAATAAATACGTTAATATGCAAGTTGCCAATCTCTTTAGAGAATCTAATTTTAATAGTGGTGAAATTACTTACGCACACCAGTATACATCATAATACTGGCATCATACAAACAAGATGTGACAGAATTATGTTGACATGATACTTATTAAGTTAACATGATGGATACTGGTAATTGGGTAATTGTGTACATGCAACTTTTCAATGTAACAATGCAAGATGTTGATGTTTATATGTATGCGAGTTAATTAAATAATTATGTCAACATAATGTATATTGTAAATGTATAAGTAGAAATGCAACTTATTTTCTTGCATGTTGACATACATATTTTGCATGTTAAAATATAATTTGTATGTTGACATGAATAAGTCGTGGCATAAAAAAGTCGCATGTTGACATAAATATTTTGCATGTTTACATAAATAAATCGAATGTCAACATCCATGTAATTATGTTCCATCTTTTTTTGTATGATGTTGTATACTGGCGTTAGTAAGTAAGTTTACCAAAATTAAAATTCGGTTCTCTAAAAGGGTTGGTAACTTGCATGCCAACATTATTTTTATGCATGTAGACATATGTTAAAATGTAACATAATTATGTAGACTTGTGATTTATTTTTGTCAACATGCAAGATAATTTTGTTTACATGCAACGTATGTTCAGTTCAGTTCAGTTCAGTTCAGTTTATTCACCCAGACCAATCTATTGGTACATGGGGTATTGTGCATAAATAACATATATACATTATATACAATATAAACAGTCTGGTCAGAGGTACATACACAATATAGAAAACATAACAAAAAAAGAGAGTGAGGAAACATATCAAGGAGGACAGACAGCAGCATAGATTTTTTGGATAAATATACAAAGTTTTTTCATCACTTTTTCGTTTGAGGTTGACATAATTTCAGTGAATTTAATAACATTCGGTCTAGAAGAATAATAATTGCCCAGGTAATTCTTTCTCACATTAGATAAAGTTTTACATTCTAAAATATAATGAAATTCATCTGCAATTTGATTGTTTTTAC